GATCACAGCGCGCCTAGGCGCCATTGCGATGCCGAAGAGCGTCTTAGCAGCACTAGTAGCCACTGCAGAACCTGACAGGCGCAACTACTATCTTGTCCATGCTGCTGAGGATTGCCTGTGTGACTGGAAGCCGACAGAGAACGAGCTCGACATGTTGCAACGATCCCTGCTCATCACGTATGTAACAGACTCTGCAAGATGGATGGGCAAGCGCAAACACTGTTATTGGCACTGGCTCCAGTGCCAACTCCCTACGGGCAAAGTGAGTCTCACCACGCTGAAGCTCACGCACCCTGATGTTGTTCCTCGCCGTGATCGAATCGCCGCTCCAATGCGCCTGGCCTCCTGGATTCGCTTTGAAACGGTCATGACAAGCGATGATTGGGAAGGAGCTATCAGCTTGTTGGTGTCCAACCTCCACCGTCCCGACCAGGAATTGCTTGTGCTACTACAAAGCTGCGTGGCCGGACAGCCAATTGCCTCCATGGAAGAAGCACAGGCGCTGCTGCTCAAAAACTTCCGGGTTGGCAAAGGTAATCAAAGTGCATGTGCTCAATGGCTGACGGAGATGGCTCGAGACCTATTGGCACCGATCCCGTTCCGAGAAGTTTTTGTCATTCTAGCCCTCTTTCTTCCGCAGCTCACCTTTGTCGATGAAGCCACCACAAGACAAGAACTGTGGAGTAGTCCCACTGTTCGAAAGTTTGGCCTAGTTGTGGAGGTGACACCCACAGCTACCGCCGTTAGGATCCACAGCCCGACTATGGACAGCTGTATGTCTAAACGAGAGCTGTTCCATCTTGCAGCTCTCGTTAGCTGCCCACAGCTCTCGTTAGTCACGACATGTATCTCTACCGACAGCTGCAATTGTCGTTGCACCACCAAACATTGAATTTCAAATTTGAACTGATCACCCTTAACGATCACAGTGGGAAGGTCCATGTCCTTTTTTAGGTTTGCTGCTTCCACCGATGGCTGCAGCTGTCGTTTAGTTGCCACAATGGCAACTTGAAATCTCAATGGTTGCCCTATACCAAGGGCAGAGAAAGAAATGAACGTTTTGTGTGGAGACCGATAGCTGTAGCTGTCGTTCTGTCGCAAACAATTCCTTTCTTCTGCAACTCCACTACCAAATTTTTGACAGCACCAAGGCATTGCAAGGTGTTGGTTGCAAAGAACTGTCGAGGAACCAAATACAATTCAACTCTTTCTTCTGCAACTCCGCTGCCAAATTTTTGACAGCACCATGGCGTTGCAAGGCGTTGGAACCACCAAGGAACCAAATACAATTCTGCAGGCCACACACATGGCACGTGATACATGGAAAAAATGGTGGGGATAACTCGAAGTTTACACATGATGTTCGCTAACTCGATTTCTTGTTTTTTAAAAATAGACGGTATATTCTTTTCACACACGCACACAGATGCAAATTGAAGGGGCATGAGTGGTCCTATACTTTACACACACACACAGAGAGAGAGATCCGAATTGAAGGGGCGCGAGAGGTCCCTGACCACAATCTTTGGTATACCTTGCTCGTGGGAACGAGCGGTGGCCACCAAACAGCGTGAACAGGTTCAAGGAAAGGGTGCGTAGCTGGACAGGCTTTGAATTTCTGAATGTGTGTATGCTTGAACCTTAAAGGGGGGCTTAGCAGTGTCAGCTCGAAGTATCAACAGAACTGGAACAACAACAGTCCCCACATCTCCCCCATGTTTTCAAACCTGCATACGTATACTGGAGCATGGGTACATGGTAGGCGCTCACGTGTATCACCACCCCCCTTTCGTTTTCCCGGCCCGGCGCGTGGCCACTCGCTCTCCACGCTGACGCTGGCTTTGCCAGGCTCTCAGCTGACCCGAGGGAAGGCCCCAACAGACCTCCTGCTCTTTTCAAATCGAATTGCTATGAGTAACAAGTAGCGGTCCCAGAACTGACACTTAATCATCGAAAGTGAGTGGCAGGAACACGCTATCTTCTTGACATAGCCTAGAAAGCTTTCATCATAGAAGCAGGCACTGGTTAGCCGAACGTTCAAGCGGTTCCTTTTGATATCCATAGCTATGTGCTGAAGATAGTGGCCTTTGGGGCGCAACCGGAAAAGTCTGCAAACCATTCCAGAACAAGCGTGAGCCAGATGCTGCCAAGACTGTAGATGCCGCATGAAATGGTCATGGGCCGCCTGCCAAACGAAAACCCCTCGCGAGAAACAGACCCTTTTGTAATCTAAACTTACCAAACTTCTTGAGTCTAAAGTTACCAAACGGTGCTCCCTTTTTGCGAATCTGGGGATGAACGTGGGGAACCAGCCTCTGCGTGCGAGGGCGCCAAAACCAAATCAGAATGATCCAGGATGTGAAGCGCTTCCTGCAAGCTCCATAGGCACACTGCAATCAAGCGCATGTTGAAATCCTCCCAGGTTGGAATTTAAAACCCAGGCCAAACCGATTGCTAGAGAAACCTGAGTACATTTTCTAAAACATTAGTAACTTTCGCAAGCGCCTCAGAGCCTTGCGCCAGCTCCATACTAAGCTTAGCCAGAAACCAAATGGTCAGCTTCATGCTCGCAGCCTTAAAGGCTGAGCCAAACTCAGGATACTCAGACGGATTGTCCAACCCTGTGTTGGCCGGAGTCATCGTTTTGAGAACCCCGTCAAACCAGCAGCTTTGCAATCGCTCCGTTGTTTGCGCGATAGGTGTCTAAGCTGCTCGTGCAAAGTAGCCCCGACCAAGTACCGTTGCCGAGCCCAGTACCCAACACATGAAGCCAGCACTTCCTTCGCCGTGCCAAGGAACACAGTGTGCATAGGGTCGCGAAAGACGGTTTTGTAGTGGAAACCTTTCATTTGGTTCCAAGCAGTCACAGCCGTTGCTGTTCGGACATAGTCAGAATGCGACAGGTGGGTCAAAAGATGCGGTGCGTTCGCACTAAAGTCTTTGAAAGACAATGCAGGGTTCGCTTTTGGCCTGGAGGCCATGCATTCCTCACAAATCAGGTTGCAGCCGTAATGCCGCGAGAACTGGTGGCTCTCGCGCCTTGCCTTGTAGTCTGCCTTGCGCCCGAAATAAGCAAACCGGTAGCCACCAAACAACTGCGCGCCACTGCGATTTGCTCGCTTGCCCGCAAAAGGCTCATTGTTGAAACCACACTCTGGGGCTACGCCACCAAAAGCAAAGTCCATTGACCACACGATGACTTCAGCAACAAGTCGGTGCGTTCGCTCCTTCACCTAACTTGCCCAATCAGTGACAAGCCTTTTATACCCTTGGTGGACATCCCTTTCCCCACCAAAGCTGAAAGGTTGAAATTCAAAAATTAGTCAACAGGCAGCCCCATAAAAGGCTACCACACAAAAGCAAACAAAGGACTGAAAGTTTCAGTTGCTTTGGGATCTGCCATCCAAGCATGAGGCACAATGCAGATTGGGAATTTACAGTCCCATACCTGATCAGGGGGATTGAGGGGTTGATGCTTCACCAAAAAGACAAACTTGTTGCCACCCGCGCCTCTCCACTGGCCAGTACACTGCCCAAGCTCCAAACGTAATACTCGCAGTTGGAATAGAATTCAGCACCATCCACGTGGAAGACCAAGGGGATCAATCCTGAGGCCAACCGATCGCTGGTAGTGTTGCTTTTTCGCGCGTTTATGATTTTGGTCATCGGTCAGACCTTTTAAACACAACTAAATGAAGGACGATGAACGCTGCAAGGCGCGGTCAAGAACCACGTCTGGGTTGGATCTGGCAGGGTGATCACACCACTCGTCTTGACGAAAACAATGCTCCCAAAAACTGCGAATTGCTTGCCCACTGCGAGAGCCGGTCATGGAAAGGTTGAACTGCACAGGGCCAAACCCCCCAGCAGCAAAGAGCCAACAGACAAGTAACAATTTTCTCTATACGAAAAACATTGTTTAGGCATCGCAGTGCCTGCCGTGACCCTGCAAGCCAGATAGCGTGACATATCTCATGCGGTAAAAGGAAGGGGATCACAATCACATGGGTGCCAACTTCGTTTGGAACCTTGGAAAACAGTTGAAACGAAACGATCAGAATAACCCCTTGATTTCTCTAAACTCTAAGCTGTCTCTAAACATAGGGATCTCAACTCCAACCCTTTGAGTGGCCCACTTACTGAAGAAAACAAATTGAAACCAGTGACTTGCAATTCCATTTCCACATCATAGGTCTCCAAATCCAAACTGTGAAGGCCTTTGACCCAGCGATGTAAATCCCGCTCTTGATTTTGGGGATGGTCCCCACCAGCTCCTAGCGGTCCTAGCGAGGCAAGTGCCTGGACAGCCACGGGAGTAGTCCCCCCACTGTCAGCAAAGTTTGCGCGCGAAAGCTCTGCAGCTGTGGCGACAGAAACCCGACCACTGCCCACCATACCTGGGCCATTGAGGGAAACGCTATCCCTTGCCCCGTAACCTGCTAGCCTTCAACTCAACAACCATTCACCGAATAGAAAAGAATGGACACACCACGCTCAGTTGCTAAGATATTGTTCTGCAGACTCGCTGTGAGGCATGTGTTCCAAGCGAATGGACCGAATCCTGATCGGAAGTAACTGTAACTTGACATCCCTTCAAACAAAGATGTAAAGTGTAAAGGGCATGAAACTGAGATTCAGAGGGTAAAGAATAGCCTGCCTTCTCTTCACCGTTTGCGCGCCCTTTCCTTTCAGACCTGGCACAGTGTGACAGAGCATGTGTATTCAAATAACTTCTTGGCGCGCTGTGAAACTTTCCCAGGACGACCATATCTTGAAACGATTTTTTGTTTTGCAGCCATCAAAAGTCTCAGTGAGAAACTCTAAGGGCCTGAGGGTCTAAGTCGCCCGGCATCTCACCCCCAAAATGAAACGGGTTCACATTGTAGGCTTCAAATTTGAGGTCTTACCACACACTATGCTTTTTGGAGATGCTACGACATACCCCAGGCAGAGAAACCACTACCCCTCGAGACACACGGCTGAGAGATCTCTCAGAGATATCACTTCTTGCCATCGGCAACGGCTTTCTCAGGTCGACCTTTGCCGTCCTCCTTTTCCTTGGACTTCTTGCCCTTCTTTGGTTTGAGGCCACTCTGCAAGCTTTTTGCAGCCGCCTGTCGGAGTGTTGACGCCAGATTGAAAGGTAATATATACTATTTTGATTTCTTTCAAGGGGGCGAAAAGGAAGTTGGAGAGTTGTAGGTTTTGAGATTGAAAAAATGTGGGACAGTTTGTGGGGAGCCGGTTGGAAGTAGGGACGATGATTCTCGAGAGAGACACCTTGAGACCTTATGGCCTGATTGAAAACCAGAGCGAATAATATTCCCCAGAATAGAACGAGAAAACCCTGCGCCTCAGCGCTCTTGTACCATGCCAACTTTGCTGCGATCAACTGGTTCTGTTCGATGTAGGGTTTGTCCTCCACCACATTCTTGTTTTGAAGCTCTGTCACCTTCTCAAAAATGGTTTCCATAGCGGTGGAAAATCCCATGAGCTGCTCAACAAGCTCGCCAGAGTAGCTGAACTGCTTTAGCTGCAGGGCATGCTTTCTGGCCTCAGTCGCTTGTTTGAACACTTCTTGTAAACTAGCTTGTGCTTGCTCTTGTGGGGTAGCAGGCTTGACCTCTGTTGCTTCTCCCTCTGTCTTTTTTGGTTTTGGTGCTGTCTTCGGCTTTGCCACTTCCCCACAAAGAGATTGGTAGATAGCCTTTTCACCCTCAGCTGAAACATTGCCGATGGATGGCAATGCGCCGGCAGCCAAAGGTCCACTTTCTCCAGTGAGTGCCAAAAAGACCTCTTCTTCTGGCGCTTTGTCCTTGATCTTGGCTGCCACTGACTCTTCGACTTTTGACTTGGCGGTGACCTCGCTTCCATGCCCACAAAGATAGTAGATCTCCTGCGCCGAAGCAGTGAATTGCTTGGCTATGGTCGCTGTGCGTTTGAAGCATGCTTCAGAGTCAAACCTATTCTATTGAAAACAGAAACCTTTTTTCTCTACATGTTCCATGGTCCATGTTGTTCGAAACTCTTGAGGCTCCTCCTCGTCTTGAGGGAAGTCTTCGTCCCATTCCCACAGACCGCGTTCCCGCAGTCTCTTGCAAAGGTCTTCGCCCTTTGGTGAGGGGTACTTCAGCAAGATGTCTCTCTTTTTCAAGCCCCCCCTACCACGCTTGACCTCCCTGATGTCAGAAGACTTGCGCGTGTAGGCCAGCTCCACCTTCGACCAGTCTTGGCTGCATTGCAACCAAGCATTGAAGACATCAGTTCTCCCCTTCAAGACATGGCTTGCCAGACTCGCCGGAAACTTTTTCCGGTCTAAGATCTGGCGAGAAAACGTGTCCCACTGCTTCTTGTGGGTCACGCTGTTGGCTTTGCCATCTACCACCAGCTTTGCCAGATCTTCAGCTGTCCTTGCCGTTTTCAAGATCCCCTTAATCTTCTCATCCTTCTCACCTCCTGCTTTGTCCTCTTCTTCTTCTTCTTCATTCTCTTCATCGCTGGAGCTTTCAGTATCCGATGACGAGCCCTCATCTTCCTCGTCTTCATCTTCGGATTCTCCTTCCTCTTCTTCTGCCTCATCCTCCTCCCCTTCAGTATCCTCATCCTCTTCTTTTTCCTCCTCCTCTTCTTCATCTTTTCCCTCCTCCTCTTCTGAATCATCGCAGTCCGTTTTAGAACCGCCCTTGGATTCGTTTTCCTTTTCAGCTTGAGCTTCTTCTGTCTCTTTCAATGCTTCCTGAAACGCTTTGTCCTGTTCCTCCATGGCTTTCTCATACTGCGCCTGAAGCTCTTTCACGTGATCTTCAACCTGTTGGTCGATTTGCTCCTCCGACTGCTGAGTGAGATAATCGACCAAGTCCATGCCAGCCTTTGTTGCTTCAGCCTGGGCGCGTCGCAAGCTGACAATATCTTGAAGCAATACTGGTGAAGACACTGAACACGTCTCTGACTCCTGCTCCAATTGCCTGATTGGAGTGCATGGTGGGGATGCGACGGATGAAGAAGCAGTGGTCGAAGCAGCAGCTGTGGGCGATGGCCGGTCCTCCTTCTTTGGCCTTGTCTCTTCTGCCTCTGCACCGTCTTGTGCTTCTCCTCCTCTGGCTTCTGTTTCTTCTCTTTCTTCTTCTGCTCTGCTACCTCCTCCTCCCCTGGCTTCTCTTTCTTCTTCTCCTTCGCCACCTTCTCCTCTGGCTTGGCTTTTGCCTTCTTCTCTTTTACCCCCTTCTTGTCTGCCTGCGACGCCGCTTCAACTTCCTTTTCTTCCTTCTTCTTGGCAGCACTTTCCGCCTTCTTCTGCTTCTTGGTTTTCTTTCCCTGCTCCTCACTTTCCATCTTGGACGTTTTTGATTCCTTTGCCTCTGCGTCTTCCTTCTTTTTCCGCTTGCCTCCTTCCTCTTTCTTTGTCTTCTCCTCCTTGCTTGCCTTATCTGTCTTTTTCTTCTTGCTCTCTGAAGCTTTCCCTTCTTCATCGTCCGCAAAAGTAACCTTCCTCTTCGCCTTTTTCTTCTCACCAACTCCTTTCCCAGGATTCTTCTCGTTCTTCTTCTGCGTCGCCTCATCTTCAAGGTTCTTGTCCCTCTTCTCCTTCTTGTCTTTCTTCGCCTTCTTGTCTTTCTTTTCATTGTTCTTGCCATTCTTTGCTGGCGCTGGTGGTGCTGCTGCACGCTTCTCTAGCTCTTGGGGTGATGACTTCCCATGAGCCCGCACTCTAGGGGCGTCCTTTGGCATGGCTAAAAAGTAAGGACTTCTAGGTATAGGTCTGACTGAAGCCGAGCTCTGACAGAGGATGGAATTAGGACAGCCACTTGAAAAGCAATTGAGACAGAAGTGGAAACTTTAGTGAAAAATTAGATTCTCCCATTCGCGGCTGTTCGCTCCAATTCTCGGCTGAGTTCTCTCCAATTCTCGGCTGCCGATTTGATAAAAACTCAAAGTTTTTTTGCGTTTTTGGTGGGAACTCCTGTTTCCTTTTGTTTTCCTTTCCTGAGCCACCCCCCCCGGAGCCCCCCAGAGTGCTCCAGCCTCCACTTGTGAGCTTTCTTTGGGATTCTTTCAAAACCAGCCTGGACAGGTGGAGCTGGAAGCTTTGGAGGCACCACTCCAAAGAAGGAGTGCCTGGGAAGGAGAAGAGGGCTCTGTGGGGCAATCTTCTCAGGAAGCACGGAAGCAGCTAACATGACACCAGCCCATACAGACAGCACATGTTTCCAGCTGCGTGTTCCTTTTCAAACCCCATTCATTGCAGTAAAGGATGAGCGGTGTCCATGTAACACCTCACACCAAATTTCATCAAACTTCTGCTCCCTTACAGGAAAAACTCTAAGACAGGTTGCAAGCTGGCCCATTTGACCCACTTGGCACTTGCCCTGTGATTGATTTTGACGCTCTTGCATCGTTTCAAATTAGTCCTAACCCTTTTTCTTGCATCCTTCTTGACAACGTGGGAGTAGTGGCTTCTCAGCCTTGCCAAAGACACCCCGAACCTCAGGACAGCTGAGAAGGTGGAAAGCAGTGGAAAGTGAAAGCGCGGGTCCCTGGACAGGGAGAAGTTGAGGCATCGTCCCAACCCCAATGCATACACTTTTGGAAGAAGGATTATTGTAGAAGTACTTGGGATCTCTTCTCATCCCTTTCAGATAAAGTAGAAGGCCAGCGCAAGCTAACAAACAAAAAACCATCTGTGGTGGTTCCCTTTTTCCTCCATGCCTTTCAATAGGGCGTCCTGGCCTTGGCTTATAGGGAGTTGTTAATTTCACTCCTAGGAACTGTTTCGGGTAGTTTTCCGATGACTTGAGATCAGCTCCACCGCAGACGCGCGAGCGCCCCTGGCTGTCTTGGTAATGTCGAACCATCTGGGTTTGTCCATCACGCGGTGGCAATCGTAAAGGCCGGAAGTCGCCGAGGTTCTCGATCCTCCGCAAGCCTTAGATGTAGGGGAAAAGCTTTGACAGCCAAGAGCCTTCTACTTTGGTTTGACTAGCAACTTCGCTAACGAAAGGTCGCGGGTAGTTGGGATTGCTTCTGTTCCTTTTGACCTCTCTTTGGAATTGTTTTGCCCACAGAGACTGGAACCTTGATTTAGCGATTTGAGCCCCAGGGTTCAAAGTTGTTTTGGGGGACTTGGGACCGAGTGGCCTGAATACAACCACGTTGGTTTCTGCGTTGGCCCGCCATAGTTCTCCATTGCAATGTAATGGCGAAATGTTTGAACTTGCCGCATGAAGAACTGCATTGCAGGATGTTCCTGCATGATGGAGTTCATTGGCTGTTCCAGAATCCACCAAACAGAAGAAGCTGCGAATATGTAGAGTAGAACCAAAGTCCGGCAGAGGATAGTGTTTCCATCTCGCACGGAAGGCGCGGTAACATCGCCTTCTGGGTTGAGGGTAGTCCTTTTTGTACTGCCACGACTCTTCAGTGGAGCCGCGAACACAAAACAATAAAGCTGCAGTGACCCCCCTCGTTTTGGAGTCTGGTTGAAGCTTCAGCCTTCCAAGGGAAAGATTGCAGATCAAAAAGAATGATTTCCCTTTACCTGCCTCTCACCTTCTAAATTAAGCCTTTGTTGAAAGAGCAACCAGCTCATGTAGGTCAAGTACATCAACCATTGGGATGGCCATTGGCTTTCGCAACAAAAGGCATCCAACATGTCTTCTAAGGCTCAAGAACACGAAGGACGAGCAAACTGGAGCAACCAGGCTGCCACTACCAGGAGGCAAGCGGCATGCCTGCTACAGATGCTGGATGAAGCCCTCGGTGGTCAGGATGTTCATGCCCTCCGAATCGTACTTGATATCAAGGGCCACCGCATGTCGGGCCTCCTGAAGGGAATGGCTGTGGGGTCATGACAACCTCAAGAGAGCTACCGCAAAGGTGCCACCAATTGGCTTGAAAAGCAATTTTTGGAGGTGTCCGCCCAATGCGTTTTTTTGATCGAAAACACTTCAATACGGACACCTCAAAAAGTAGCTTTCAAAGCCATGTTGACGCCCACAACAACCCCTCACTTTCAAACATGTTTTGACGCCAGCTCGCCTAGTTCACCCAGAGTCACGCTTCGGGTCCCTGCAAATGCCTCGAAATGGTCCAGCGGGGTGAAGGGCAAATTCTTCTGCGCAAACAGTAGCGAAACCAACACCCCAATCACCTGAGCTGGCAAACGACAGCTTGGTTGAATCATTTCGTTGGTCATCCCTGTGATGGGAGGGGAACCTCAAAAGAAACTATAAAAGGATGGGCTATGCTCTTTAAGATTGCCTTCACATTGCAAGACCCCCCCAACCCCAAACAAAGCCATATGAAGATATTGGCAGGCAAAGGGGCAGCAGGTGCCTTGAGAACCCGCAGTCCGGCAAGTATGCTCCGCTTCTGCTTATCTCGAAACGTATTGCCCGCATTTAAGTGTTTCTCCATATCCGGGAGTTGCGCAATACCTTTCCGGGCACGAATGAGCGCATTGCCCTTCCCCATGATATCCTCGCAAACGGGAGCCAGCCAGCTATGATGGTTGAGCCAAGACCTTCTTGGCAAGGAGAATATGTTTTTTGAGGCTGAGCTTATAGACTTACATGTCACTGGTTTGACAACAAGTTTCACCCTGTGACATCACCCCACATCATCCCGGCTAGCGCAATCCCAACCATGCCTAGGCATGCGCGCGCTCAGCGGTCCAATCGCCCCTTCACAGCCACGGCACCTGGCAGGCTGATCGAGACGAAGAAAGAAAGACTTTGTTTGGGAAGCTCGTGCAGGAGTGAGGGTGGTCCTGCTGGGAAGGGAGAGTGACAGCCACGTTTTTTTCCAGAGACCTTAGGCTTGTTCAGCGAAGTGAGATCTCTCATGACCCCAATCCAAACCCAACTCCTTTCAGCAGTTGGCACCCCTTCATCAACATCTCAACCTGTACACTGAACGGCCAAACGGTTGACGCTTGATATCTTCTGCGCAGAAAAAGAGAGCTGAGGGTCCTCTTTCAATGTTGGTGTTCTGCGTGGATTGTACAAACAATGAAATAGCAAAAACAATCGCTGCTAGCAACAAACTCCCAGCAGTACATTGTGTTGAGCTAACTATGGATCCTCAGTAACGACCCTACCACGCACAGCTTGCTCCATGGTCTTGACCCATGCATTTGCAGGGCCTCCATGCTTCTTCCAATTGATTTGACCGGTCCCCTGTGGGGAGCGCTTGATGTAGTACGCGCGGTTGCGGAGCAACGCATCCACTACCACTTCCTCCTCCTCTCCGGCAGGAGTGGTCACACTTGTAGTGACCGTGTAGCTATGTTCACCCCGGTTCTTCTTGGTCAGATCTGGCCTTGCCTCTGCTGGGATTTCGGCAAGGCTGTAAGCCCCGTAGGAGTCCTGAACAAGTCAACTTGGATATGACTTGTGGTTTCCCTAGCCCTTCTTTGGATTTCCTGATCCTTGTATTTTGTTTTCCCAAGGGCCAAGAAAGAAGCCAGGAGTCTACTAGAGCTAAACCAACCAACAATCAAGTTTGCTCTCCTCAGCGTCCGAAAGTTCCCAAATGTCTGGATTGAGACGAGGAGTTGGTGGCAAGTTACGATCATACTCAATGAGATTGGGTTCCGTCCGGCCACCAGTGACAGTCACAACACGCATGACTTTTGGCACCTTCTCCACGCGCAAGCTCGAACCTTCGCGTTGCTTTGCAACCGTCTTCTTGACACCGCGCTTGAAGGAAGCCTTCTTCGACTTGTTCGCCTCCTTCGCTTTCTTCTTGGAAGCAGAGGCCTTGGCCTTGGGCGGTTTCACCTGGCAAAGGGGACGGGAAAGGCTTGAGAGCAACCTGCCTTTTTTGCATTGAAGGATTTTTTGAAAATGTTTGAAAGCAGCCCTTCCATTGAAAGGTTTGCCTCTGTGTAGAGTGTAGACCGCTATTTTAATTTAAGCTAAACACACATATTCATAAGTTCTACATATGCGCCTGAGAACCAACAAATGGAGAAGGAGTATTTGCCATATGATCGACAACATCCTGAAGAGAAGGTGGTGCAGTCAAGCTTGTTGTTTTCACTTCATGCACACATTGAGGCAGCTTAGACTTCTTGGTGACTTCAAGCTCTGGCCCCACGCCAGCAAGCGCTTGTGCTACATCACACTCCTTCATAGGGGCGAAGAACGAGAAACAAAATGTAAAAAACCCACCGTTATGCACACCCCGTCCCTGCTTTAGACAATCAAAGGGTTTGTTTCCCAACCCTGCCTTCTCAGAGTCAGAGTCTGACATTTGCGACTCGGCCACAACATCCTCACAGCTGCGCTTGCGAGTTAGGGCGCTCCGCAGCGGTCGTAGATCCAAGCCCAAAGTAGCTTCTGAACTGACATCATCAGAATCAGAATCGCCTGCAGCATCACTGCCAACTGGCCCTTTCTGATTCTTGCAGGGCTTCTCGCAAGGTTCACAATCCGAGCTGGAAGGGTCGGACGCTGCCTCATCATCGCCACCACACTCATCGCGAGCAGGTGAGGCTGGGCGCTCAAACTCATCAGGAGCAGCAAGGTCATGGTCTGCGCCAGAAGAAGTAGGCGAGTTTGCCCCAGCCTCGCTCGGGAAATCTGAGCTGACCTTTTTCTACAATTCAATTTCAGCTTCACTAACCGCCGAAAATAAAACACCCACAAAATAAAAGTCACTAACCGCTTCATTGTCAGAACAGCTGTCAGAACGAGGGGTTGGACAAGAGCACAGCCCATCTCCAGATTCATCACCGCTGGGCGAAGAATCAGCGGCGGCATCACCATCACTCTCATGGATGCTGACAGGGTCCTCTCAACCAAGGGCAACGCTGTCACTATCGCTTGATTGAATACGTACACAATAGCTTTAGGAGAAGCCTCACCTATAGACCGCTGTCCAAAAACCATTTCAGAAATGTAAAAACAAGACTTGATCCTCTTCCACTTGGGATTCTTGCTCTCGTTCTCGTTCTTGCCGCCGCTGCTTGCGAGCCTGAGAAGGGCAGGGGGCGCCAACAACCTACAAAAAAGACAAGGTTCACTAAGTTCATCTAAGTTCATTACAAAGAACCTTGCGCCTACCAATTTTTGGTAGCTGCGCTCAAACGTTCAAAACTTAAAGCTGTCTATAGCTAAGAAACTTGTGCAGAAGGAGAAGGTAGCAGGAACGATTTCAAATCTGTCACTCGCTCGTCCAAACCACGTGGGCCTGTTTCAAGGCATGGGAAGATGGTGTATAACTTAAAGCGCACAAAATTGGACATACTAAGACACACATACCAAAACTTACCACTCGTGACTCACCAGCCGTGGCGCCATTGCGGTAGAGGTATCGCAAGGTGCTGTAGCACTTCCGGATGCGGACAGCTTCAGCAGTTGCCAAATCAACCTTCTCTGCCCGACTAGTAGGCACAATGCGCCCGTTCTCAGGAGCGCGCATCAAGAGGTTGTCATTGAGCAATTCATCCACCACGAGGAGGCAATCCACAATGAAGAATTGGCTTGGCGCACACTTGGGAAACTGTTCAACCAGAGGTCGCAGCCACACATAGTTCATTGAGCAATCCTGCAACATTGTTTTTCAATACCGTATTTCCAGCGCGCGTTGAAAACTTTATTTTCACACATTTTTTTCACATCATAGATGGCCGCGCGATAACCCCCACTCCTTCCAAGATGGCCGCGCGATTTCATCCTCGAGCCGAACCAGGGTTCCTCCAGCAAACGTGTGCTGCGCAATCATAGCCCGAGCTCGTTCAGGCATCCATCGAAGCAATTGCTGGGCAAACACATCCTGGAGGCCAGGACTGGGTCTTGGTGGGACGACTCGGCTCTGATGGGAGGAGCTATTCACATTTAAAATTTAGTGACAGTGGAAACACTGAAAGGATCTGAAAGGTTTTGCAGTCGAGGCTCAACTTCCTTCTTGCCCCAGGGGACTTTTCCATGACCTGATAGAGGTCGATGTTGCTTAGGGTTCGTGCCTCTTTCATCCGCAAGTCTTGAAACACAGCAGTACGAGTCTATAGAAGCATGTCGGATTCCCAAACCATGTTTTCACACATGTATATATGCAGCTGAAAAACGCACAGACTTCCAAGCTGGTGCAACGGCTGCCGGCATAGCACACTTAAGTGAGGCAAAGCGACTAGCCTAGCCAAAATGTTCCCTGGCTTGAGGCGTGCACCAGTCACACATGCAAGCTGAGAACAAAACTAGCGAAAAACATGGCACTAGCACCGTGCCAGGTCTTCGCAAGCCTTGGCGCGCTGGGCGCACCGTTCGAAGAGCCGGCTCGAAAAAAAACTTTGAACTTGCAAGCGCTGAGTGGAGGGCTGGTGCAAAAACGGCCGAGGTAAGCAGAGCATGCACCCCTTCAACTAATTATACCTCTGCTTACTTTGAAAGGCCACCCGCCCAAATGGCTCTGCGGATCATCGTCGGCCACGCGTGTCGAGCGCACGACAGCCGATTGAGTTGAAGATCGGTTTCTTGCTTTGCCCTTCAAATCTTATATTTTCTCACGTTGCTTTGTGTTCAACAAATGGACACCGACCTTTCAGCATGTTAACCTGCGGATCTTTGGCTTTGCTAGAGGGTTCTTTTGGGGCCACTGCCTCCTGCATGTTTGTAGCTGTGAGGTTGTAAGTATATGTAGAATTATATAGACACAGTATGACAAAGCGGTGTAAACAAAAAAGCACACCAGGTCTATGCGAGAGACACTTCAAGTTACCCCACCCACTTCTGAAAAAAAAACTTTGGGCCTTCTCCAACACTTTGAAGAATTTAATTCTTCAAAGCGCTGGAGAAAGAATGTTCCTTTTGTCTCGGAAGGTGGCAACGCTATAGCAACCTTGCTTGCTTGCTTGCTTGCTCAACTTGTTTGGAGAAGGGCATTTTCCTTTTGTCTCGGAAGGTGACAATGCTACAGCAAGTTTGCTTGCTTGCTGGCTTAATTTACTTGGAGCGCTTGGCTTTGCTTGCTTGGGGTATTGTAGAAACCATTCTTGTTTGCATGGTACAGCGGAGCCATCCCTATAGGATGTTTCACGAGAGCTGTCGCTACCAAACATAGCTTCCAGCTATCGTTAGTCTTACAGCTGTCCTGACGGCGGATTGCAGGGCATGCATGAATATCGCATAGCTTTTCCTTCGGGGTCGCAAACGGCTATCTTTTGCCCAGCGCACTTCCAGAGCTGTAATTTCGAACAACTAGCCAGCAGCCCCTCAAGTACGGTGCATATGGGCTCGCAGGCTGGGAAGGCCTATCGAATCGTTCTGGAGGAGCACGGCGCGTGCTACTCAGTCTTGGCGCTTTTGCTTGCCTTTGTGTCTCCCTCTCGGAAACGAAAAGGGGAAGAATCGCCAAGTGAGAAACTTCGTCGACTGAGCAGCCCTCGGCACTGGGATGTTGCCTTAGTACCGTTCCCGGAAGATTTCGCGCCGCTGCCCATGCCAACCGAAACCGGACTAGCGTGCCCAGCGCCATGGGCTTTCCCACCTAGCCTATGCGTGCTAGAACCTAGAGCAACTAAGCTCCGAGTGGTGGCCATCGCGGAAGCAGGAGATACGGTCACTGCTGATCACCTTTTGCAAATGGCCAGCTTAGCGGCAGAGCACAAACCCACAGTGCTGGGTATCCCTGGCCAAGTGCCCATTCCGTATCAACTAGAATGCACGGTAGTCCTTTTGCAGAGTTTGCATGCCCTCTTCCAGCTGCTGACCTCCGGCAATACAATGCAACACTGTCCCCAAGCAGCCAGCTTTGCTGTTGCCCTAGGAACTGCCGCCCGGCAAGATAATGGGCACATCGTTTCGATGGCCGCCAGTCTTGCGCTGGCCCTTCGAGCTGGCAGATCTACCTTGGCAGTAGCAGGTGTCTTTGGAGCGGGCAAGACCAGATCCCTGACCTTTCTCCTTGCCTGGCTGGCCCTCACCACTCACCTTAAGATTGCAGTGGTGCATAAAGAGAATCCAGCGGGTCGGGCAATCACTAAGTTGCTCACAGCTTTTGACCTAGAGCCGGACCACCAAAGATATTTCATTCGGCCAGTTAGCAGGGAAGAGGCAGAAACTAACACAGCGTGCGCTGACTATGACTTGCGTGCAAGCGATGCGGCATCATACATCCCTGGCTGCCACGTAGTGATTGTCACTACTGGGCTTGTTTGGGACCAAAAAGGACAGACTCACTCCACACTCAACACCCATATGGAGAATGTGGACCTGCTCATTAGCGAAGAGGCGCAGCAGGACATGGACCTCAAATCTGCCTTTGCGCCAACAGTCCCCCGACAACCCTTCTTTCGACTGCTGCTTGGGGATCCCAAACAGAGCCCTGGTGGAGTAGCCGATGGACAGAGAGCCCATTGCACGCTCCTACTCAAAGCTCCCATTGGGCTACGAGCCCCCACTATCTGGTACACGCCACATGAAATACCAGGGGTCTTTCACATGCTCCTCCGGCACGGCCGAGGCTTTGGCCTTAGTGACCTAGAAGAAACTGCCAAAGTAGTGCACAGGCCCTTGGGGAGTAGCTGGTTTCGCCCGGAGAAGGTCCAAGCCACGTCTTCGTTCGCTTGCCAGTTACAGTCCACCTACAAAGACCTCTCCAGAGTGGATCTGGATCTCCCGGAAGGACTGCTGGTGGGTCTAGGATATGCAGCTACCAGCCCAGACAGCCCGCTTGACTTCCGACAGGCGCAAACTGCGGCTGAGAGATCGGGAGTTGCGAGCCCACACTGCTGGAGTTTGATGTTGCCAACGAGTGCAAGAGTTGCCCAAGAAGTGTACGAGCCGTTAATAGGAATTCAGTATCCCATGTTGTGCAGCCGAATGGGAGATACTTGGCAAATAGGTACCACCTCCATTCGAGAGGATCAATGGATTGCCACAGGCCTACGCTTCGTCCACTGGTGCCATGCTTCGCCCAATGTGCAGGCACGGCAAAACCCAAACAATGACCCAACAGTAAGAGTGTATCAACATCTCGAAGACCAACTTACCAAAGCAGGCTCTGACACTGATGACATCTTGGCCCTTACAACCACCCGGGAAGGGGCCACGAACCTACGCAATTATTTCTCCATTGCCGGTAAGAAGGCGAATGCAGAGACTGCAGTCAAGGTTGCAGGCGCCACGGCCAAGCATTGCATCGTCATTCACGGGGTGTCAACCTTTCTCAGTGGCGAAGGACGCAACCTCGATTACGACCAGGAGTGCTTCACACGAGCGAATGTAGCATACAGCCGAGCCACTGACCTTACCATCCTAGCATGCCCATTGAACATGCAAGGAATGCCTGGGGCCCTGCAAGTCTTAGCAGCCCTCCTGCATGGTGTCCAAACAATATATACCTATGACAGCAACAAAGAACCTGACATTTTAGGCTCCTTGGACCTTAGAGCCACTCAGGTTGCGCAAGCCACGACATTCTTCCAACAGGCGCTCCTGCCCCATCCAATGTGGCTCGGCCCTCTACCTGTCTGTCTCGCAGAACACCATCACGGTAAGGTGAGGCGCTTACGTCTCGTCTTAGCTACGCTCACGCACTTGACCAAGGCGGAAATTGCCAGCCTATTAGAAGGGCCCTACCTGCCTGGTAGTACGGTCTTGCATAACCTTGTCTATGGTTACGCAGCTGATGCTTCGCTTGAGCCAGAGTGGCTAGTCATAACAGATGGGCAGCAGCCAGGACGTTGGAGACTTCTCCACAATAGCTCTGGCCCAGGGCAACGATGTAGCGTAGGAAGCTCCCTGCGCTATCAACCAACGCCAAGCACACGTGAACAGCGCCGTGCGCAGGATTATACCTTTGAAGCACTGCACCGGGTGTACTTCTACGACGCGTGGAGAGTGCAGCCAGTCCTAGATGCCCCTGAATCCGACCTTGTCCTGCCACCGAAACCAGGCCTTTTAGAGCATGGCTGTTACTGGCCTCGGCCAAATCTGACACCTGAGGTCCTCTCTATCTCTGACCGTGACCCAGAAAAAGAGGAACAAGAAGTGCAAGAGGGACAATCGCCGACCTCCCTTGCTGTGACAGATGCTGCAATGGCTGAAGAAGACGCAAATGAAGCAGTCTCAATCCACAGCTCCTCCTCCGAGTCGCCCACTATCCCGAGCACAGAGCAACCGGAGGATGATGACGCGCACATGGCAGATGATGCTAGTGCTAGCACCTCCTCTGCAGAAGAAGAGGGTGATTGCCTTAGCAATCATCCGGCCCTTTCTGACGCATGTCCCGCGCAAGATGAAATGCTGGAGGCAGAAGATGATGCAGGGAGCGAGCTACCTCCACAGGACGTGGACCCCCCAAGTAGCAGCCCCACATCACACTCCTCTGAGTCCCCAATCAAACGAAGACCGGGGTCCAAGGCGAGTGCCGGGCGAGCTCAGTCCAAGAAGTTACGGAAATCACTTGCTCCGACATCCAGGCAACTCGGCAGCATTCCTGAACATGAGCAACCACCGGCCACACTGGCAGACCTGGCCAGTCGGAATGCTCAAAATCCGGTAGCTCCTGCTTGCAGGAACCCTAAGACACCACCTGACCACCCTGGATCGGCGCAA